GGGGAGGAGGGTTGAATATTTTTTATATTGATATATTGATGGGGGTATTGGTATCATCGTAAGGCTTGTTAATGTATCTTGTTTTTGATGAGAACAATATCTGTCAGTCCAGAATATAAGTCGAGATATTAAAATTTACGTTTGAATGAAGTCAAGGTGGTGGTCTGGTGTCAGAGATAAAATTAGCGTGAAAATGGTCGCCCAAATATTGATGATTTCCAAAGCTTGAGATTCTTAGTAAACTGCAAATCTACACTGTTTGCGCCTTTGATGAATGATTCTTTAAAATCAACACCGAAATATATTTTAAAAGGGCATGAATGGGGGAAAAAAAGAGAAAATACTTCCCCAAAACTGCACGGTGAGCAGAACAATGTCGGTTTCTTTGATTTCATTAATTTGACGAACGCCTGATTTCACCACGATGACACACACATATTTGAGGCAGCGAGGTGGAATCAGGCTCTCGTCAAATTAATCAAAGTGAAGAAAATTGCATTTTTCCGCAGGTTTGTGAATTTTTATCAAATATTTTTTTTTTCGCATAACAACTTTCCGGCCCATTAAAGAGCTCATTTCTGTGTGGATTTTTTCTGAAAAGCGTTCATTAAAGGCATAAAAAATTTAAATCTTCAGTTACCACGGACTCTTAAGCCAAGGAAATAATTAATCTTTGGAGGCTATTTTCTCACTAACTTTAACTTTAAAAAACAGCAACAGGTGACCCCCACCTCCTTCTTTTGCAAATATCTCGACTTGTATTTAAGACAAATGGATATTTTTTCCTTCTAAATAAAGACAAGTGAACAAGCTTTAAAATGATACCAATAACTCTAGATGTCCAAAAATTCTTCAAGCGCCTGATTTCACCACGATGACACACGCATATTTCTTCTTCTCTTCTCATATTTACAGAATAAAATACTAGCGCTGTGACAGGACAGGTTTTTTTTCTTTTCTTCTCACATTAACTCAAAGAAATACTAGCTGCTGTTGTGAGAATTTTACATTCTTTTCCTCCTCACATGATTACTGAACGAAATACCGACCCACGTCGTGAGATTTTTTCTCCCTTCGTAACGTTTACTAAATGAAATGCCAGCTCTTAATTATTATTATAGCGTGATGTTTAGGATCTTCGGCACTACACACCAGAGATGCTAATACAATTCCCAGATTTAAAAATAATTATTGTTGCCAATGGTAGAGGGTATTATAATATCATTCCATGACTGAATATCATTGAGAAAAAAAATTGAAAGGGGGG